TCCACATGTGCCCGACTCACTGATGGAAGGCGAACACTATCTAGGCCTACTGCATCTTGACCCACTAAATGGAGGCACGATGAAGCACCCCTCTCCGCATCACGACCCGCAAACGGGAGGCGTGAATTCGCGGCAGAAGGCTTAGCCAATGTAGCCCCAAAATTCGCCGAAACCAAGGCTTCAGGAACACTTTCAGCACCTACGTTCTTAGATGTAGACATAATCTATCTGACAACAAAACCAAAAGCAAAACTACTCACTGTTAACGAAAAGCAAAGCAAAATATACCAATATTTTGATTTGTACCTGTCTATACCGCCGTGCAGTTTAGAGAAGAGGACGGTGCAGGATGGGAAGGGTATGGATTTACGCTTTGAAGACTGGTTATACCGCCAAGCGGCTGGGAAACGCCTAGTGATTCGAAACCGAAAGAGGACGCAGTATAATTTCAATACAAATCGTTCCCGCGTATCGTTTAAGCAAGCAGCAGAAGCTAGCAGAAGTAAACAAAGAATGGGTTGATGGGATTGGTGTTTCTGAATGACCTTACAAAATTACTTCCGGAATAGTTTTGTTACACGGTGTTCGACATGAGCTAAAATTTGCTCGAACGGTGGACCACCCGCTGTGTGCTCGGCGCGATTAACCGGTGAATTCACCGGAATATGGTTTGCGTTTTTCGCTCGAACGGGCCCATAGAGCACTAGCAATACACTGAATTTTGTGCAGCTAGTTTCCGTCTATGTGTTTTGTTTCTGTTCGTGGAATAATACAAAGCTGGTGTAACAAAAGAGGTGCTTATAAAAGTACATCTCACTAGCCTTATATGCGAACAGTGTACTGTACATGCGGAAAACGTTTTGTATTTTTCGAAATATATGTCTAGATTCTAAGTGTAGACCTTTTCATTGTAATTAATATATTAATAAAGTGACTCAACAAAATTGACTAACGTAATAGTCCAACAAACTTTGGATGGTTGCATTTTTTTTTGCTATATTTTAAAAAAATTAGATATGATGTAGAGTAGACATAGATAAATCAAAAAAGTATGTGCAACATTTTTTTTTATACGTAAGGGGGGTTGCCAGCCGTTTCAAAATGGCCGCCATTTTTTTCTAAAATTGTCACTAATATTGTAAATTTATATAATTAAAATGCAGTATTCAATTGGAAATCCACTCATAAAAATGACAGCAACAGTTAACTAAATATTGTACACATTTTTGAGCTATTACAATTTAAAATGGCTGCCACTTTCCATTATTTTAGTTCTTTAGCATACATATTAATATAATAATAACCGACCTGTACAAAAACTGTGTTAGAGCTAGTTATATGCAATTGCTATATGCTGTTAATATTATTAACATAATATATTAATGATATATATTTATATATGATATATATATACAGTATATATGTATATGTATATATATATATATGTGTGTATATATGTATATGTAGATATATATATATTATGTATATATATATATGTGTGTGTCTATATATGTATATATATTTATATACATATATATATATATATATATATACATATACATACATACATATATATATATATACATATACATACATACATATAC